GGGCATGGGCGGGGGGCGCGCGTGAACCTGGGACCCCCACGGGGTCCGAGCATTTGCATCCTAACGACAAACATAACAAAGCCGTCGATGAAGGCGTCGCTGCTCCCAGCGACGTCTGAATCCTGGGGCGGGCGTCCGACGAGAACGCAGGGGGGGGCCTCGACCAGCCGTCAAACGAACCCGCATGCGGCAAATGATGGGGGCGAGGGAAAGCAGCCGAAGGCGACGCCGAAGATCGCGATGCCCCCGACGCGCAAGCGCTCGATCCACTCGCAGCCCAAGTGTCGGGAGGCAAGCCGTACCCCGAACATGTCGCGCTCTCTGCCTGCCGCCCTCGCTCCGCTTCCCGCCCAAGGGGCCCCGCATGACGGCCCCAGCGCCACGGGGGCACTGGCCTACCAAGGGTTTCGTCCGAGGGGGATCTCAGAGGTCCCACGGCAGGTGAGTCTGGCGACCAAGAGGGCGGAGCCATCCACGATGTCCCGAACGAAACCGACGATGGCGGGGCCTCCCTGCTAAAGAGACCCCGCTCCAACTCCTGCAAGAGAAACGCCGGCTGCTTTCTGGAACTGCTGCTCGAGGTCAATCTGGTCAACGTCGACTGGAGTCTCCACTGCGCCAGATCGGGGCGCCGCTGCAGCAGCTGCCACTGCCTGGTGAGATGGGGCCTGAGGTGGTGGTGCCGCATGGCCTGAGGCTTGGCCATCAGCTGCCGCGGGAGTAGGATACCCCGGCGCCGCTGCTGGCTCAGGCGCCCCCGCCCCCCCCCCCCCCCCCCCCCCCCCCCCCCCCCCCCCCCCCCCCCCCCCCCCCCCCCCTTCGTCGGAACGACGGCGCTTGGCGGCCGTGCGCGCGCGGAAGGGGCGCTGGTCCGCAACCGGCCCCTGCGCGCGAGCGCGCCGATCTGAGGGCCTCGGAGACGGCCATCTCAATGGCGTGCTCGACCTCCTGCTTCCGCTTGGCCGCCCCATCCCTCTCAGAAGACGAGGTCTCGATCTCCTCAGCCCCTGCGCCGAAGAGCCCGTGGTCCTCGAAGATCTCGAAGCCCCCCCTGTCCAAAAGCTTCTCCAAGCACAGCCCATGGCGCGGAGGCGCGGAGGGCTCTGGCTGAGAACGCGACAGCACCTCCGCAGCCGAGCAGACTGAGAGCTTCGTGGTACTGAGACTGGCACACTCCATACTCCTCCAAGGCCAGAACTGCTTGCTTCTGGGCCTGCACGAACTGCTCGCGGCAGGACTCTGCGGCCTTGGCGCGCTTCTCCAAATGCAACTTGGCCTCGCGCAGGGCGTGCTGAGCCGCCCCGGCCGTTGGCTGCCTGGGGACCGCCGCCCTCTAACCTGACGACGTAGGCCTCGTAGTGCTGAGCCTGCTGCAAATCTCGCTGCAGGCTCTGCAGCTTGGGGGTGTCCTCCGGCGAGTACTTGGCGCCGCTGCCCATGCTCGTTGCAGCCACCAAGCCAGGCGGGGCTCAGCCTGAGGCCTGGAGCTGGAGCCTCGCAGGGAGCGCCCAGCGCAGCATGGGCGGCGGCCCCAACGCCCCCTGGGGGTCAACCTGCCTGGGGCCATGAGAGAAACCGAGGTAGCCCTTGCCCTTGCCATATCCTCCCTTCTGGCCCTTGCCGCCCTTGCCTCCTTTTCAGAGGCTCTCCGAAGGATGGCGGAGGCCCGTGCGCTGGGAGGTCTGCCCATACGCCTCCAGCGGGAGGCTGAACGGCCCGTTTGGACGTACGTGAGGGGCTCCAGGCAGTGCTTACAGCACCAGTGGTGCGATAGGTTCTTTTTGCAACCACAGTGTGGGCATGGAGCCTTTGACAGGTCGGAGTCGCCCGCACCTGACTTGTTCTTGAAATTTCCCACCCACGTCCACTGCCGAGGATCGCCCTTTTCGTCCCGCATACTAGGCTGGCCGCGACGAGAAGAGCCCGTCGGAAGGAAATGGGGAGACTGCGAAAGAGGGGAATTGTATACGGAATGCTCCAACAGGAGCTCACAAAAGAAGACAGGGCCAGAAACTGGCCGCAGGTTCACTGGCGGGGGCGCGCCTCCCCCACGCCAAAAAGGGCTCAGTCTGAGCGAAGCGCTACGGACTTGAGCCACAATGGCTACGGACTCTTCATCCTCCTCTTCCTCCTCCTGCTCCTGCTCCTACTCCTCCTCCTCATCCTGCTCCTCCTCCTCCTCCATTTCTTTTCCTTATAAATAACTTATCCCTTTCGCACCCCGAGGCCAGTTTTGGGGCGGACCGGGCGTTTCGCTGGACACTTTCTCACCACTCACGACCCTGAGTATTTACAAATGACAACACTTTGACAGAGGGAGGGCGGGGCGTTTGCAAAATGTAACTCTCGCCGAAGCGCCGCGCACATTCGTTTAAACATTCGCAAGGGCTTCAAGGATTGAAGGCGAATCGTTTTCAACATGAGGCTCTCGCCTTAGCGCCGCGTGCATTCGTTTCAGAATTTGCAAGCTATTTGTCTCCGAGTTGGCTTGCCCTATACGAATTCTAACTCAAGCCCTACTAATAGGTCCGTTGCCCCCTCTATTTCCGATGCCCCCCCCCCTAATCCTATGGCTATGCCTATGCCTCCCCCCCTAACTCCTATGCCTATGATCCAAACAGGCTTGCCCTACAAGCGTCCTGGCTCAACATCGGCACTTGGTCTTTAGCCCCCTCTTTTTCCAATGCCCCCCTTTTTCCAATGGCGTTTGCTTGCTTGCTCTTGCGTGCTTGCTCTCGATTGCTTGCTCGTGCTTGCCCTTGCTTGCTTGCGCTTGGTCACTGGCTCTTGCGTGCTTAGTATTGCTCGCTTGCGCTTGCTTGGTCCCGCTTGCTTGCTTGCTTGCGCTCGCTTGATTTTGCTCCTCCTGTCCTCCTCCCGTCCTGCTCCCGTTCTCCTTTCGTCCTGATCCCATCCTCCTCTCATCCTCCTCCTGTCATCCTATCTATTTGGAGCCAACGCTGGCTGATACACGGATTGAGGGCGGTTCCTGTTTAACATGTAACTCTCGCCTCAAGGCCGCGCACATTCGTTTTTTGATTGTGCAAGCGTTTCACGGATTCCCATGATCAGCGTGCCAGACCGTGGAAATGAACCGCTGTAGGGGCCTAGTTGGTTGGAGGTTTTTTTTGTTCCAACGTCGTTTATGACTTTTGGGTTTACACTGGTCCTCCTCCTCCTCCTCCTCCTCCTCCTCCTCCTCCTCCTCTTCCTCCGCTCCGCCTCCGCCCCCTCCCTCCTGGGATCCACTGGAAGCACCTAGACACCCTCCTTTGCCCATTCACTACGAGAACTTCCCCAATACAAAAGAACTGGGAATACCACGAAACCAATCCCCTCCCACCTCCTCCCGTGACATCACATCCCGTCCCCAACTTTCCCTGCCCCCTCCTCTCAGCCCCCTCCCTTCCCTTCCCATCCCGTCCCCTCCCTCCCTCCCTCCCTTCCCCTCCCCTCCCCCCTCCCCCCTTCCTCCTCACTGCTCCCTCCCCTCCCTTGCCTCCCTCCTCCTCACTGCCTTCCTGCTCGAAGGGCGCTCGCCGCCGCCCCATCCGCGCCTCCGGTCCGCTCCAGCGCGCTGGTCGCCGCGTTGTGCGACACGAGGTCGGGCCCGAGCCTCCTGCCGTTTCGGCAGGAACGAGGGTGGGGGGCGGGGGCGGCGCCTCCCGGGTACACCCCGCCCCTCCCTCCGCCTATCCCTCCCCCCCTCCGTCTGTTTGTCGTCGTTGCCAAGTTTCCCCTTGGTCCACCACCGTGCCGCTGGGCAAGGAGTGGGCGCGTCGGTGCATGACAAGCGGTAGGCGTCCAGGTGGCATGTCACTTTGAAGTGGAACACATGATAATGGGCAGATAAGTCACAGACTCAAGAGAAAGCCGCGGTCGAAGAGCCGCGCATCGATGTGGGACAAGAGACGTCCTCATAGAGCAGCTACCCCATCATGCAACTACAGACAACGCTGGGCTTCAGAATGAGGAGTGTCGCGGCCGTGGAGCTGCGCGCCGTGCCGGCACGGGCCGGTCCCTTGCCCTATCTTCTGAGCGTCGATACCCACTCATGAGGAGTCTTTACAAGGCCAGGAGCCCAACTTGCCAACTCTCCTAGGGTTCGGCGCGTCTTGTCGCGGTTTCTCGCGAACTGTTTCGGAGCCACGAGGGCCCCAAGACGTGCCAAGAGGGCCCCAAGACACCCCCAAAACGGTCAAATAATGCCCAGGGTCGCCGAACGGTCGCTCCAAGACGCTCAACATGGCCCGCAGACGGCCCATGAGGCTTCCAAGACGTTCCAAGAGGCCTCCCAAGAGGGCCCCAAGGGGCAACTGTCATTGATCTTCCTACGGTTTTGAAAAATGTTGGGCGTTCTCGCCTTTTTGGGCTTTCCAACGCTCCCAGACGGTCTTAGAGGCCTCGAAGATCGCCCCAAGACGGCCCCAGATGCCTCCAAGAGGGCCCCAACACAGCACAAGAAGGCCCCAAGACGGCCCCAAAGGCGCCGAAAACGGCCCAAGAGGCCCAAATGACGGCCACAAGAGGGGGCACAGTTGAGAGACACGAGCGGACATTTCGAGCTCGAGGGCCTCCCAGGGGGCCCTCGCCCTCCGATGGGCCCCCAGGAGGCCCCAAGAGGCTCCCAAGAGGCCCCCAAGAGGAGCCAAGAATCCTCCAAGATGCCCCCAAAGGGCCCGAAGAGGCCCCCAAGAGACCTCAAAACTGCCCCCAGGAGGCCCCCGAGGGCGCCCCGAAGAGACCCCAACAAGCAACCTCGAGAACTCTGACCCACAGTGCACGCACGGTGGCGTAATGGGCCGAAGGCCACTAGATCCGCCGCCCCCTGTTGCTTGCAATAGGGGGGCCTGGCGTGCTAGACGATTTCGGTTTTGGTTTTGGTTCTTTTCCAAAAGAGCTCCCCCTGGGGCTTCGGCCCGTCCCGCTGGGGTGCCGGCAAGGACCTCCAGGCCCGCAAACGACCTCAACGTCCCGAACACATTCTCCAAGACGGCTCAAGATGGCCTCCAAGACGGCCAAGATGGCCCTCAAGCTCGCCCAAGATGGTCCTCGACGGCCTCCCAGACGGCCCAAGAGGGTCCCAGATACGTCCAAGTTCGCCCAAGAAGCCTCCAAGACGGCCCAAGAGGCCCCCAAGAGGTCCTCCAGGAGGGCCCGAAGAGGCCAAAATCGTTGATTCTCCTTAGGGTTTTGAAGGATTTTGGCATTCGCTTCTTCTCGGCATTCCGACGGCTCAAGACGGCCCCAAGAGCCCCCAAGACCGCCCCCACAGCGCCCAAGAGGTCTCCAAGATGCCTCAGGACTGCCCAAGAGGCCCCCAAAACGGTCCCAAGAGGGCACAAAGACGACCCAAGAAGCCTCCAAGCCGCCCAAGATGGCCTCTAAGACGGCCCTGGAGCACCCCAAAAGGGCCCTAAGTCCGCCCAGAGAGGCCCCCCAACCGACGGCGTCGGACGGGCTAGGAGCCCACCAAGATGGCCGAAGTTGGCTCGAAGTTGGCCCAAGACGGGGCCTCCAAGAGGGCCTCCAGGAAGGCCTGAAAAAGGTCACAAACACTGGTTTTCCTAAGTTTTTTGACGGATTTTGACATTTGCTTCGTTTCGGCCTTCAGACGGCCCCAGACGGCCCAAGAGCCCCCCAAAGATCGCCTCAAGATCACCCAAGAGGCCTCCAAGATGGCTCCAGAACGGCCCAAGAGGCCCCCAAGACGGCCCCAAGAGGGGCCCCCAAGACGGCCCAGGAGAGCTTTATTCGCCCAAGATGGCCTCCAAGACGGCCCTGGAGCATTCCAAGAGGGCCCCAAGTCGGCTCAGCGAGGCCCCCCATCGGCTTCCAACGGCGTCGGACGGGCCAGGGGCCCACCAAGACGGCCGAAGATGGCCCTAAGATGGCCCAGGACGGCCCAAGAGGCCTCCAAGAAGGCCTCCAGGAAGGCCCGAAAAGGTCACAATCATTGATTTCCAATGAGTTTTCGAAGGATTATGGCATTTGCTTTTTTTCTGCCTTCCGACGGCCCGAGACGGCCCAAGAGCCCCCAAAGATCGCCCAAGAGGCCCACGACGGCCCGAAGAGGCCCTCAAGTGCTCAAGAGGCCTCCAAGACACTCAAGATGGCCTCCAAGACGGCCCAAGAGCCATCCAAGACGTCCTCCAAGAAGGCCCGAAAAGGGTCAAAATGGCCTCCAGACGGCCAAGATGACCTTCAAGATGCCCACGTGTTCCCCGAAGGCTTTCCAAACCGATTCCGGGAACACATGGTCTGATAGCTTGGCAGGTCTGGCCTCAACGTTCGGCCACATCGGCGCCCAGAAGACGCCTACGGCGAATCACCGCCGCCCCCTGCCTTTTTGGAAGCGCTTATGTGGCCGAACGTTGAGGCCAGACCTGCCAAACTATCGGACCATGTGTTCCCCGAATCGGTTTGGAAAGCCTTCGGTGAAGACGTGGGCATCTTGAAGGTCATCTTGGCCGTCTGGATGCCATTTTGACCCTTTTCGGGCCTTCTTGGAGGACGTCTTGGAAGGCTCTTGGGCCGTCTTGGAGGCCGTCTTGAACGTCCTGGAGGCCCCTTGGGCCGTCTTGGTGGCCTCTTGGGGCCGTCGTGGGCCTCTTGGGCGATCTTTGGGGGCTCTTGGGCCGTCTCGGGCAGTCGGAAGGCCGGAAAAAAGCAAATGCCACAACCCTTCAAAACGTCATTGGAAATCAATGATTTTGGCATTTTTCGGGTCTTCCTGGAGGCCCTCTTGGAGGCCTCTTGGGCCGTCCTGGGCCATCTCAGGACCATCTTCGGCCGTTTTGGTGGGCTGCTGGCCCGTCCGACGCCGTCGGACGCCGTTTGGGGGGCCTCTCTGGGCCGACTTGGGGCCCTCTTGGAATGCTCCAGGGCCGTCTTGGATGCCATCTTGGGCGAATAAAAGTCTCCTGGGCCGTCTTGGGGGCCTCTTGGGGCCGTGTCTCGTGGGCCGTTCTGGGGCCATATTGGAAGCCTCTTGGGTGATCTTTGGGTGATATTGAGGGGCTCTTGGGCCGTCTCGGACCGTCGGAAGGCCGAGTAGAAGCAAATGCAACAATCCTTCAAACAACTAACTGAGGAAACCACTGTTTTGTCTGGCAGGGTTCCGCTCGCAGGTCTTTTCAAGACAGAGAAGTTTGTCTCGCACGGAGCGACACAGGCGCAGTGGCGCGGGCTGAAAACTGGCCGGCCTCGAGGAGGCAAGCGCGAGCAGACCCTCAGTGAAAACTTCGGAAGATACAATGTGGAAGTGCGCAAACGTGGCTGGAGGGCAGGCCACGGGTGCACCTGAGCGGAAGATCTCGCTGCACCCCCAGACAACAACGCGCAAGCACTCCCATGTCTGGCAGGCTTCCGCTCGCAGGTATTTTCAAGACAGAAGAACTTGTCTCGAGAAACGCGGCACGGAACGACACAGGCGCAGTGGCGCGGGCTGAAAACTGGCCGGCCTCGAGGAGGCAAGCGCGAGCAGGCCCTCGACGCAGTGAAGACTGGAGTCCCAAATCACTCCCGAAACAAAGGACGCGCTCTCGGAATAGAGGCTGACACTAACTCTGCGGCGAGGTCACGGCACAGGCCTTTCGGATATGGTTCAGCCACTTTGGTCCACGGGATTCGTCTGCTCGGGTGGGGCCCAGACAATTCGGCATGTGCCTTACCTGAAAACGAGCAGACCCCCCGCCCGCGGCAGAGGCGGCAAGTCAAGCGCTGTATGTCATCAGCTGCAGCATTACCGACAAGAAAATGAGCCCGCTTGCGCCATGTCGCGTCGTAGCTGCAGAAATCTAGCGTCGCCTCGCAGGCGCCCCGAGTCGCACGACGGCGGAGCGCAGCGCCTCCATCGCCGCAAAAGAAATCGGGGAAGTCAGGCCGATGGCTCACACTGTCCGCAACGGCACGGCGGCCGCGCGGCCGAAGAAAAACGCCTCTAGCTACTCGTCTGCACTGTTGAACTCCGCTACTTGCCAGGGCTGCAGGCGGGCCGCCGCCATGTACAGTCGGGCGGCGTTCTCGCACCGCTTGAGGGAGCTCTCGCACTGCCACCCGCCCCTCTTCTTCAGCTCGAGGTGGTCGCGGTGGCGGCCCTGGAGGTCGAGCGAGGCCCCGGGTGGCGGCATTGGTGCAGCGCTAAACTGTCCAGCTGCAGTCTCTCGCGAGTCCGGTTGAACTCGGTCACGAGCTCGTGGTAGCTGTGTGGGAAGATCCGAGACTCTGGCGGGCCGCGTGCCAAGCCTGCGATCGCCTTTGGCAGCCGCGGGCATGGTTTGTTCGTCAGGCTGATGCCCTCGTCCTGGGTCTGGTTCTTCCCGGTGCCTGCTCTCGCCCCAGGGAAGAGGAGAACTGCCCGGTCGCTCGGGCCACCGTCCACTGGAGGGATCAGGTCCTGACGCTGAATTGTCAGAAAGGCTCGCGGCATGCCTCAACCGCCCATATGATATGGGGCCCCATCATCCAGAAACCACGGCAGCAGAGGTCCCACGCAACAGCCGACCAGATCGCGCGCACCACTGGGTTGCATGAGCGCCATCCATAGCGGCGTCTCTACCCCTTGAGGCAACGCCAGGCCCGAGGCGGGGGCCGCCCAGCTTCCCGCACTGCGGTTGGAAGTGCAGTAGCGCCGACATCAGGACGCCCCCTCTGTTGGAGCGATGTTCCGTCTCGTAGAGCTCGTTCATGTAATGCACGAGCGCAGCGTCCACCTCGCTGTCCACGACGATCGGGCGCTCTCCTGCGGCCTTCACGAAGGCCTGCAGCTCCACCTGGTTCTCGGTCTCCGTCCCCTGCCTCGCCGCTGATCGCTCCAGGAGCGAGAGCCCCGCAAGCGTGGGCGATGCCCGCGCTCTGACCGCTGCGGTGGCCCGGTGCCACGGGCCGGGCATCGCCCTGCTGGCTGGCGCGCCTTCGCATGTCTCCTTCGCGCGGGCGTCTTTCTTATTAAGCATTTTCGTTCCTGCACCTGGTGCGCTTCTGGTGGCGGTGCCGACTGCAATTCTTTCTGAATCCCTTCATAAGCAAAAACGTATCACGTCCACGGCGCACTCGCGTGGCCCTTGCAATTGGCGGTGGGCGGGTTTTTTCGAAGGCCTCCAATGGCAATTCCAGGCCTCATCCCTTGCGATTCGTCGTCATCGGCTGCTTCTTCCCGCCTCCCTCCACCACCCTCGCGCCGTTCTTGCACTTCGCGCGCTGGCGCCTGTCCTGGTGCCTGTCGAAGACACAGCATCCTTTCGCAAGGTATGGGTTTCCGCGCATCTCTCCTCACTCCAGCTTCGCAATCCTCGCGCTTCTCCTTCAGGTCGCTGGCCCCCGCCCGCTGAAAACGCCCTCTTCGGCGACGTTCCCTTGCAGATGCCCTCGCACTTCGGGCGCCCCTTCGGCTTGTAATCCTCGCGGATGCATTCCACGAGCGCGCCCCTGTCCTTCGGGTCGGGCCCGTTTGCTCCACGGCGCGCGCACGGCGGGCATTTGGTCGTCGCGACAAAAATCTCCTTCAAGCAGCCAGTTCGCCTCGATGGCGTCTACGGGGCTGTCCTCGACCCCCCTGCCCTTCAAGCGCCGCGCGCGGGACGGGCGGGGGCGCTCGTGCCGCCTCTCGCGGGGAGTCAGCCATCGGTTCGCGAGAGCGTCCTTCGCGCCCAAGGGCTAAAACTCCGGGGGACACTTGGCCTTTTCCGATTTTCCCGCCAGGGCACTTTCCAACGATCTCGTCTGCGCCCTTCCGCCCCCTAGCCGCGCGCCTCGCGCACTTCGCCTCCGCGAGGGCGTCGAGCCTGCGCTGGGCCTGGAGCATCTCGCCCACGACGAGGTCATTCGGTAGGCTTCGTCCGCGCGCGCCGCGGCGCTGCGCCGTGTCACTCGGCGCTGGGGGGCTTGTTTTCGAGACGCTCGTCGCAAGTTCGGCCGTCGCCGATATCCCGAGTTTTCTGAGGTGAAGTTCTGGCGCGGAAGTTCCCGCTCGCATGGCCCATCGCAGCAGATGAGATGGCTTTTCGTCTGGTGCCACCGGAGGAGTTCCTTGCGCTCGATGCAAACCAACTCTACACCTCGTCGAAGGATGTCCTGCTCGAGATGCGCCTGGTCTCGGCTGGATCAGCATCGCCTTCCATGCTTGTTGTCCGTGCAGATGCGGCGCGGCAGTGTCATCGCAGCCGCCACCGCTGGCGCCCTTCTCAGCTTCTTCGTTCGGGCGCCCAGGAAAAGCCGCGGGCCAGGAGGCGCGCCCTGCGGGAACAGGAGGAAAGAGCACGGCTGCGCGATGCCCATGACGACACAGGCGCGCAGCATCGCGCCCATCTGGGGCTTCGCAGTCCACGAAAGACAACCCTTGTTCGCAACGGGCAAAAGCACTTCCGCAGCGCGCGTGCGCCGCCCCACCGAAGTCGGGCACGATGGGGGGCCCGCAGCGCTTGATCTCCATGGCACCCCCTTCGCCCAGCAACCGCGGTCGCGCCTGCGTGGACAGCGCGTAGATGCGGCGCCCGTCAATCTCCAGCAGCAGCTTCATCCCAGCGGGTACATCGATGAAAGACTTCGCAGGTCTCCGATGCAAGACATCTCCCCCATCCATCAGCGATCTCACTCGTTCATCCTCATCTTCGGGGAGCTCCCAGCCGTGGAGATGCCGCGCGCGTGCTCGAACGCGCCCTGCCCCCGCGCCCCTCCGCCGACGGCGCCCGCGAGGCGAGCCGGCAAATTCGCCGCGAGCGGGGGCGGACCTGGCATTCCTCCTGCGCGGTGGTGGCGGTGCATCGGAAGCCGTTCCTTCGCCTCCTCGCGCCTCTCCTCTGACTCGGCCGCGTTGGCCGCGGGCGCCTCGCAGGGAGGGCGGCAATATCGGATCCCGCGCAAAAATCCACAAAGGTGTTCCCCAAGTGAAAAGTCCGAACGCTCGGGGAACACGCGCCGCGATTGTGCTCAACTTATCCCAGAATGTTTTTTTTCGAACGCTTGGAAAACTAAGGCTTTGGCGAAAGAAACCGGAAGCACCGCGGACCCAATCAACTGAACTCAAACCCCTTGACGCAATCGGTTATCTGAACGCCACCGCGTACATGATCAGCGTTCTCCGAGTGTGCCTTCCAACTGCTCGGGTAACATCGTGGCCCAACTATGACAACAGATCGCCATCGATATTTCTCGCACCTTTGGAAAGGCGACTGCATGTTTCAAGTGTTCGAGGAATCCATGAACCGATTATGCTCAACTGTTATCCCCTGAACCATCGATTACCTTGACGCTTGAATGCATCTCCGACCCGCTGGGGAAACGCAAGGGCGCTCCCCGAGGGATTCGTCCAATCGTTCGGGGGCCCTCATGAGCTGATTGCGCTGAGCAAACACGTGCATCTCGCGAGCTGGCAAACTGCGTCATCCTTACCCAACGATTTGGCGTTCCCCAAACGGCCGGCCACGCCGTTCACGGAACGCTTCTTTTCCCTCCTCTCCCTCGTCGCATCCCTACCCTTTTCGCCCGGACGGAGGAGGAGGGAGGATGGGACGCGGACGGAGGGAGGTGGTTGGAGAGAGAGAGATAGAGAGAGAGAGAGAGACAACAAAAAAAACTGCGAGGGAGAAGGCGCATCTGGCCGAATGTGTCAGTCCTCGACCACCCAATGCCGACGGACCTGGCCAGGTAGTGAGTTGGCATACACGAGCCACCAGGGAACATCCAAATTCGCAACTTCGGGAGTCCTGGCCTGGGTCCCTAGGAAGCGGTATATCTACGAGCCCGCAAGGGCGAACAGACATCCTTATCCACCACTCGTCGAGGTCCTGGGCCAAGACTCCGAAGCAGTGGACATGGATGTGCGCGCGGGCACGAACTATTGATGCCATCGGCTTTCAGGGGCACAGAGGGATCAGGGCCCCTCTGGGGCTGGTCGAAATTCCAACCCTGACAACCTGCAAAACAATCTGGCAAACCCCAACACTACTTCTTGCCGCGAGCCTGGCGGGCGCGCAGGCCACTCGAGCAGCCCGGGGCCACTGGACGGCGAATGAAACACCGCAAGAGGTAGGGAAAGAGAAAGCAGGGTGGCCGCGGGAGGGGACAGAAACGAGGGTGGCGCCAGCGCCCACACGCGAGAGCGCGCTCTGGCGGCGGAGTGCCATCGGTTGGCGCCCACGGGTCCTGGCCGCCATGTCCGCCACGAGCCACAGCGCCACCGCCCAACGCCCGGCTCGCGAACAGGCAGCGATGGCCGCGTTGAGGGTGACCGCGTTGGGCGGCACCTTCCCAGGTGGGTGCCGCAGAAATCCCTTGGAGATCCTACGGGGTTCCATGGTGCATCCCGAGGAAGCCCTTCGAATTCTCGAGGGCATCCTTCGCCGTCCTGAGGGTAGCATGATTGAGCCCCTGGAGGAAATCCCCCAGGATGTCTCAAGAGCCCCATCAAGATTGCTCACGAAGCCCTGATCACAGGGTGCGGGAGGACCAGAACATGTTTCTGGAGGCGCGCCAAGAGGAAGGGGGTCGAGAGGGGGCCTTCTAATACAGCAGAGTTTTCTAAGGAAGTGGCCAGAGGCTTGCAGGACGGCTTTTCTCGGACGCCTACGAGCACTTCTGAGAAGCCCCCTGCCTTCTCAGAAGCCCCCCCCTTGCTGGACCCTCCATGCCGCGCCGCTGAAGGTACAGGGGGGGGGGGGCAGGAGTAAATTCTGCCGATTCGCGGCAAACTCGTGTCGCAAGGCCTGTGGCTAAGCTACCTGCCCCCGACAGAAAGAATACTGGACGAAGAGGGATAGAGAGAGAGAACGTGATAGAGAGAGAGGGAGATAACAGAAGAAGAAGAAGAGACAAGTAGAGAGAGAAACAGAGAGAGAGAGAGAGAGCGAGAGAGAGAGGGAGGAACATATAGTAGGAGGATGGAAGGGAGCGAGAGAGAGATGAAGAGAAAGAGAGAAGGGAACACATTTAAGGAGGTAGGATCTAAGAAATAGAAAGAGAAGGACGGAGGGAGGGAAAGAGGGGAACGAGAAAGAGATAGGGAGGAGGAGAGCAGCGGCAAGACAGAGAGGGCTGAATCAGCCAAGCCCCCACGTCATACAGAAGACTTGCCCACTTGCGCTCATCACCCTCGTCGTGGTCCGGAAGCGCTGGCAAGATTCAGACAAACCCCAAGAGAGACCAGCGCAAGTTCACTCCGGGATCCGAAAGTCCTCTGGTGACAGATGGCGCGATGGCAGCGAAATCCCCGAGATCAACGAGGACAAGTTGACTCCAGAATTCCTTTTTGTAGACCTGGACGCCGAATAGTAACTGCTTCTTGTGTGTATCACATCCCCCAACTTTCAGTACTTCAAACGTCGAGCCGATCCCGCACCCACTCCCCATCCTAGCAGCGTGTCTGGCCCAAGCGTAAGCCCAGAATCAAACCAAAACGACAAATGGGACGACGCCGAACCGACAAAAACATCTCCCACGACAGGCTAGGGATCTGGAACCACCCTGCCACCTCAGACAATACGCATCAAAGGTTGCTCAATCCTCCTGAGCCTCTTAAGCGCCTCTAGGCTAAGTGCGTGTATCCATGTATCCAATGTAGTGGGATGCACAGCACTAGAAGTCAGTGAAAGGCTGCATCGGCTGGCGCAGGAAACGTCTACTGCTGAACAGGAGGCTCCCATGCTTGGAGCAGTAGGCCCAGCCAGACGGGATCCGTTGCTCAACTGATGCATCGGCAGGGTCACTGAGCACCAGCAGCCTTCTCTCCAGTTCCCTGCCCTCCCGCCCTGCCCAGCGCCCGTCAACAGGTCACGCGGCATCCCCTCCCCTCCCTTCCCCCGTCCCGTTCCACATCTCCCCCTACGCCTTCGCCGCACTCGTCGCTCTCGTCGCCGTCCGCGGCGTTTGTCTCTCTAGACGTCGAACGTCGTCGAGTGTCATCGCGGTCGTCCTCGCAGCCTCCGTAATCCTGGTCGTCGTTCTTGATAACGGCGTCGTCCTCGACGTCATCGGCGTTGACGACGCTGTCGACGTCGTCTTCGGTGGCAAGGGTCGGCAGCCGCGGCGGCGCGGGCTCTCGCGGCCGGCGCCTTGCTCCGCGGCATGCTGCTGCACAGCAGCCGCAGCGCCCCGCGCCACTTCGCGCCGCGCGCGCACGCGGCGACCGCGGAGGTGAAGCTGACGACGTCCAGCCTCGGGGGGTCTCCCCCCACGGCAAGACCGACTCGGGACCCGGCCATGGACTCTCTCGGCCGCCTTGGTCTCAGGCCAACGGGCTGGCGGCGCCTGGCTTTTTCGCTCACGGGCCCGCTTCCAAGCCTTTTGGGCAGCGCTGGGCGGCCTCGGGGTATCTGAGGCAGGCGGAGGCTTTCGAAACTCCGCGGTGGTTGGTACGGAAGCCAGCGGAAATCCTAGACGGCTCTCTCGTAGGGGTGAGGAGAAGAGGCTTCTGGGGGCCCGAGGTGGTCTTCGGGATGGGGAGGTGGGCCATCAGGAGGAGGAGGAGGAGGAGGAGGAGGAGGACGAGGAGGAGGAGGAGGAGGAGGAGGAGGAGGAGGAGGGGGTGACGAGGATTGGGCGAGGAGGACGAGGAGGAGAAAGGAAGGGGGCGAGCTGCTGCTGCTGCTGCTGCTGCTGCTGCTGCTGCTGCTGCTCACGGCTGTGGAGCAATCAATCCAAATCTTGCAGTCTCGATTGGAGCACCTCGCTTGCCTGCACACGAGGGAGACATCCTTCACGGGTAAAAATGGGGCCTGAAACTTTACACCTGTCCGCCGTCCACACCCACTTCGGTGTTGCTACTTACCAGGTGCGCACGGCTGCGCTGCCCGAAGCTCGATGGCTTCTGGCGCAGAGCGTGCACACATCATTCTCAGAAATCACATCACTCCTCAAACTCCTCGCCCTCACCCGACGACGACAGGGACACGACTCCCTCCAGGTCAGGGCGCGAAGGATGAGGAGGATGTGGACTAGAAGAAGGGTGGGTAGGGAAGACGACGAGGGGGATGCGGCGGCGAGAGTGAGGAGGAGGAGGAGGAGGAGGAGGAGGAGGAGGAGGAAGAGGAGGAAAAGGAGGAGTGTTACGAGAGGGTGAGGAGGACAAGCACGAGGGGGGAGGAATAGGAGGGTGCGAGGAGGACGAGGAGGCGAGGAGTAGGCGAGAAGAAGGGGGAGGAGAATTAGATGAGGAGTGGGGAAAAGGAGAGAAGGAACGGCAATCGACGTCCACCCCTCCCTGCTTGCCTCGCCACCCTGCGCCTGCATAGCAGCGCCTCTGGAGGGGCTGGGGAGCTGCAATTTGGCCATCGAGAACAGGCGACCGACCCAGGACCACTGCGCATCCGCATCGCTGGGCCAAGCCACCTATGCGCTTGTGTGTCCGGACCTCGAGCTGCCCGCTGTTGCAGTGCGGCTCTCCAGCGCAGACCGCGTGGCGCGAAGCGCGATTACCTTGGCGCCTCCGCGGGTGTGCGAGGCGACCGACGCAAAAATCCCCGCGCCCACATCGCTCACCTCACGGTTGAAAGGCTGCGGATGGGAGGACTTGAGGTGATATGGCTTCAGGGCGTCTTAACCCGATTAATGAGCCCAGTTTCCTGGAGAGACCACCCTGTAGGGCACAGTGGCCCGATGGTGCGAAATCCGTGGGGCTGGGCTCCAGACCGCGCGGAACGGAACGAATTCGTCCTGGGCTAGGACCCTGCAAAGGCCGCAAAAATGCCGCAAGAGGGTCCCACAAGGGCCCTACGTGGCGTTCACAAGACGGCGTGGGACCCTACGTGGAGGGGGCGAGGCACACGGAGACCCAGACGCGCTGTCTGGGCGGTCGGGCGGGTCCAATCGTGGAGTAGAATGTGTGCAGTTTGAGCTGTCTCCATGACAAACGCAAGCCGAAGCACAATGCATCCCGAGCCCGATGTATACAGACGGCCTGCCCCGAGCCCGTATGCATAGACGCTTCTTATAAGCTTCACTCTTCACAGTTTGGATGACTTCCTGTGTGCTATTCTCGCCTCTGGGCCACGAGAAAAAGGAGGGCGACGAGGATGGCGAAGCGCAGGACGACGAAGACGGGGAGGAGGGTGAGAAAGACTCGAGGGGCAAGAGACGGGGAGAGGAAGGGGCATCGGGATCGGGCAACTGGGAGGGTAGAGTGGAAGGGGAAGACGACGTCCAGCTCCAGGTGGGGAGGCCTACGCATCCTCCTCTTTGCCCTGCTCTGTCCACCTCGATATTATTATTATTATCCTCCTCCTCCTCCGCCTCCCCTCCACATCATCATCATCATCATCATCATCATCATCATCATCATCATCATCATCATCATCATCATCATCAGCATCAGCATCAGCATCAGCATCATCATCATCAGCAGCAGCAGCATCACCGCCACCATCATCATCACAAACCATCATCATCATAATCCGATCGGCATCACCATCATCACCATCATCAGTATCAGCATCATCAGCATTATCTTCATCCTTATCATCAAACTCACCTCAGTCATCAGCATCTGCATCAGCAGCATCAGCAGCATCAGCACCACAATCATCCTCGGCAGCACCAAAATCACCATCACCCTCATCATCATCAGCACCAGCAACATCAACAACAGCATGCACAGCATCAACCTCAACATCACCATCACTGCCAACATCACCATCGCCATCATCATCAACAGCATATCATCATCATCATCAGCATCAGCATCATCATCATCATCATCATCATCATCATCAACATCATCATCATCATCAACAGCATAATGGGTATCACCATCACCAACACCATCACCATAACTCATCATACCCATCATCATCATCAGCAGCATCATCATCAGCATCACCATCATCCTAATCATCAGCATCCTCATCATCATCAGCATCAGCATCATCACCAGCATCAGCATCAGCATCAGCATCGCCACCATCGTCATCATCATCGTCATCAACAAATCAACAGCCTCACCATCACCATAAACAGCATCAGCATCAGCATCGGCATCAGTATCATCATCACCATCATCAGAAGTAACATCACCATCAGCATCATCACGACGGTTGAGGCCCTAAATAAGGATGCCACTGTTAAATAACTTGGAGGCTCGAATCGACCAGGTTCCTTATTTTTCAGGAGCGGTCGAGACTCTGAAATGCGATATGTTCTCTGAAAGAAGAAGAGGAAACTGTGTGCATGTTCACGCAGGCTTGTGTGCACCGCAGGCCTTGTGTCCACCATGGCTTGAGGCATGTCCCCGAACCCTGAACTGCGCCCGCCAATCCCTAACATGCAAGGAATGCCTGAGCCTCCAGCCTGGAACCGGAGATTCCTTATCAAATGCCTCCACCGTATTACTATCATCAGCATCAAAATCAGCACCAGTATCCTCATCATCACAATCATCATAACCACCATCACCAACACCAGCACCAGCATCATCACAATCATAATCGGCATCATCACCATCATTATCACCATCATCATCAACATCAGCATCGCCATCATCATTATAAACATCATCGTCATCATCATCATCATCATCATCAACATCATCATCATGATCAACATCCGTTCTCACCCGAGCAGTGCAGCGCCGTTTGGGACTTCAACGCGGCTCCATACACACCTGTGGCCCCCAGCCAGCCAGCAGACTTTCTCCACCTCTTCCTACTCCTCCTCATCCTTCTCATCATCATCATCATCATCCTCTCGCCTTCCATAGCTCAATGCTTGATGGACACACTGCGACTTCCGCTGGGGTGGTGGTGGGTTAGTCGCTCGCATGCCCTCTGGGTTCGGACAGAGTGCCGACGCAAGGACTCGTGATATGAGCAAATATTGGGAGTTTGAAATATAAAGGCTGTAGTACCGCTCGCAACAATTTGTTGTAATACGCTAAGGGCCAGGAGGTGGACAACCAGGCCCCTGCGGAAAACTGATGAGGGTCTTTTGCCGCAAAATGTTATTCCGTGGTTGGCTGCGCTGTTCCCGGCCTCAGCCCAAGATGAGACCAAACATATCAGCCCATGACGTTGCCAATAAGTATCGCCTCAGAGACGGCACGGTGCCGCAACGGACAGCCTGTAGACGCACAACGAGTCTCCCTGGAGTGACCCCCAGCGGGGCCCTCCTCCTCCCCCTCCTTCCCTCCTCTCCCTCCTCCTCCTTCCCTCCCCTTCCTGCTCCTCCTCCTCCCCCTCATACCCGACTGCCCCCTTTCTGCCACTCCTCCCTCGAAGTCGACCTCCCGGCCTCTCCTCGAGCAAGTCCTGACCAGAATATCGAAGCAAATCCAGATATGGCGTCGAGGGTCCACAAGGTGGCCAAACAACGAGGAATAAAGTAACAACTAGTGTTCTCTTCCCCCCATCCTCCCGACTCATCATTATTCTTCCCCTCCTTCACCTCCTCCCCCTCCTCTCCCCTCATCCGCCTCCCCCTCCTCCGCCACTTCCTCCTCCTCCTCCTCCTCCGCCTCCTCCTCCATCTGCTCCCTCCTCCTGTCTATCCTCCTCCCACTTGTGGTTATCCTCCCTCTCATCCACCATCTTGATGTCTTATTCGGGCTTACCCCAACTGTGCCACACAGCTGGCCGATCGCTGGTCAATACACGCGGTTCCATCGCGCCCATCTCAAAACAAGCTACTCTCAACAGAGGCGTGTTGCCGTCAACACTGCAAAATGCGTGGACGCAATTGGGCGTGGAACAGTAGGCACATTACGCGCGAAAAGGCGAAATGTCGCTCTAGCCTCAGCGCCGCAGGTGTATTTTTTCCAGAGAGCTGATCTCTCGCACGGGCGCGACGCGCTCAGCTATCGCTCGCCAATTCGTCGAAAACGGGGTCGCTTGCGAGCGGACGAAACATAGCTCTCGTCCAAGCGCCACGCAGATTCCGCCTCAGAGTGGCGTTTCCCCTTGGGGGCGGCGCACTTTCTTAAACCCGCCCAGTCGTTGGGAGCGGGGCCGCCTGCGACCAAGCGAACTGATGCCCTCTCGCCGAAGCTCCGTGTCTACGGTCAGGAGCTCGCGGGAATCTTCTGACTCGGGTCAATCCAGACCCGGGTCAATCAGGCCTTGCAGAATCCTGCCAATTCCTGCACCCAAAACCGGGTCAATGCGCAAGATCCTGCAAGATCCTGCAGCATCCTGCACCCAAGCCCGGGTCAATGCGACCCTGGCCCTGCAGGATCCTTCGGGATCGGGCGCTCTGACTCTGGCTGTCCCCCGTTTGAATTGACCCCGTCTCAAGGCTCCCGAAGCTCTGGACAGGGTGTCATCCCAGCGGCCCCGTGCGACACGCTATGCCGTGCGAGCGGATATCGTGTCGCTCCGCTCCGCGGGGCGAGAGGCTCGGGAAAGGCTCGGGACGATGACGCCTCGGGGCCGCGACGTGGACAGCGTCGCGCCGAAGCGCGGTGGGCCAGATCCGGCGGCGCGACACGCTGCCCAGAAGTTTGCGACCGTATTTGGCGTGAAACCAACGCTACCGCCATGTGAGTATCGTTTATCCGATCCCCATCCCCGGCGGCGTGGCCTGGGCCCCACTGGCCGATTTACCCCCCTAGATGGGGACACAGATCGTTCCCTTCGAGTTTCGAGGGGTATATCCCCAACTGGGGCGGTAATTTGGTGGGGGTCTCGAAGGGGATGGGGATGGGGATGGGGATTGGTTAAACGATACCGAGCATGGGCGCGGCGCGAGCGGCCGAACGATACGATACCGATACGATACGATACGCTACGTGTTTGTCGCTCGGAGACGGGCCGCAGGGCAGCGCGCGAGCGGCCGAACTATCGCTCCAGCTCGAGCCCCGTACAGATCCCGTGCGAAAAGGGCAAGGCACCTAAGCGGCGCACGCTTTTTCGGCGGTGGACAACCCTCCCTTTAGCAATCCACCCTTTCGTGAAAACGACCTGGAACCGCAACCGACGGACCTGGACCCGCACAAATAACGGCCGTGACGCCCTCTCGCGAACCGACAACGGCCAATTCGCTAATCGACGTGTCAGGGTAGGAGGTCTATCAACCTCCGAGCTTTGCCTTTGCCACTCGTATCAGGCAATCGACCGCGCAAGAGAAATCGAACTGGTGGTCTCGCAGCAGCGCCGCGCGAAAGGTTTCTGGAGTTCCAGTGCGCCCGTGCGCGGTCCGCGCGTCCCCCCTGGCCAAGCCGTCGGAAGCGGGACCGCGCGCGAGCGCGCTCCGTTTGCTAATTGGGGGCCCGCGCCGGTTCCAACATCAAAATGAGCCAATAATGGTTCTTATGCGATCGGTGGGACTGGGCAGGGCCTGCTGACTCTGCCGACTGGACTATACTGACCTTCCTTCCTCCTCATCCCGCCTTTGTCCTGCTGGCAGGGGCGCTCATCCCTCATTTTTCCTCCCTCATCCCTCAGTCCTCCTCCTCCTCATCCCACCTCCTCATCCCTCCTCCCTCCTCATCCCTGCTCCGCCTCGTCCCTCCTTCCTCGTTCTGCCTCCTCCTCCTTGCCCTCTTCCCGGCAGGGGCGCGGCACCGTACTCGGCCTTGCTGCATGCTGCGCAGGACGCCGACGGCCTAAGGGGGGCCGCCGCCGCTGCAGCCGCCGCCGATATCGTCGCCGTCATCGTCGCCGTCGCCGCTGTTGCCGTCGTCGTCGACAGCATCGGCGTTGCTCTCATCGCAGACGGAGGAGAATGTGTTTGCCTGTTCGTGGTCGCGTTCTCCCCATACATCCTGCGCTGACTTCGGCCATCGTGCTGAATCCGCAGCGCCCCGCGTCTCACCGCACCTCCTCCACATGTTCGTCTCCTCCTCCCCTCATGCTCCTCCTCGCCCTCCACATGCACACCCCTCAACATGTTTCGTAGCCCCACGGGGAGCTCCCCCTACGGTGCCAGTGGGCGCCGACGCATGGCGTCACCCCGCCCACTTCGGTACCCCTCAAACGTTTCATGGCCCCACAGGAAGCTGCTTCACCTACGATGTCAGCAGCGCCGACGTCCCGACACTGCGCCCACTTCGGCAAACTCCTCACAAGCTTCGTGCCCCCCCCAATCTTCGCTGATAGTCTCACTTGGCGCTGACGTACGGCAGCACCGCGCCAATTCCAGCACACCCCTCACACGCTCGTGCCACGTAAGAGGGGGCTCCAACTACGGTGTCGGCGGGCGCCGACGTATGGCCGCACAGCGCCGATTTCGGCATACCCCTCACACGCTTCGTGGCCGCAGAAGAAGCTCGACCTATGGTTTCAGAAGGGCGGGCGTATGGCGGCACCGCGCCCACTTCGACACATCCCTCACACGTTTCGCACCCCCTTAGGAGCTCCACCTACGGCGTCAGTGAGCGCCGACGTAATCATGGCTGCATCGCGCACATATCGGCACATCCCTCACACACTTTGTGGCCCAATCGGAAGCTCCACTGACGATACCAGTGGGAGCCGACGTGTGGCGGCACCGCGCCCATTTCGGCACAGTCCTCGAAACGCTTCGTGCCCCATAACGAGCTCAACATACGGTTCTCAGTTGGCGCCAGCGTATGGCGACACAGCGCCCCTTTCAGGGCATCCTTTACCCGTTTCGTGCCCCCAAAGAAAAGAGCTCCGCCAATAGTCTCACTTGGCGCCGACGTGCGGCGGCATCGCGCCCATTTCAGTGCACCCCTCGCGAGTTTGGTGGCCCACACGGAGCTTCATCTGCGGTCCCCGTGAGCGCCGACGCAAAGCGGCACCGAGCCCATTCCGGCGCACCCCCAGCCCTCAGGGAGCCCCAAATACGAGTTGGGTTCGCATGCCGCCCCCGTCCATTCCGGCGCACCCCTCACGAGGATCGTGGCGACATAAGGAATTGCACCTGCCGTCCCACTGGCAGGGTCCGTATGGTGGCGGTGCCCATTCCGGTGCACCCCGCACGAGGTGGCCCCATATAGGGTCAGCTTGGGGGCGCCGCCCATGTCCGTACATCCCTGACGAGGATCGTGGCCTCAAAGAGGGCTCCACCTATGGCACCAGTGTCAAGGCCTGCATGCCGGCGCCGCTCATTTCATCGCACCCCTCACGCGATCGGGGCCTCATAGGGTGCTTCGCATACGGTGTCAGTGGGAGACGACGCATGGCGGCACCGCGCCAAGATCGGCGCACACCTCACACGTCTCTTGCCCCACAAAGATCTCCACCTGCGGTCTCAGAGGGCGCCACCATGAAGCGGAACCGAGCCCACTTCGGTGTTCCCCTGGACCCTCAGGAAGCCCAAAATACGGCCCCAGTGGCAGGGGTCGCATGCCCGCCTCGACGCACCCCTCACGAGGATCGTGGCGCCACAGGAGAATCTACCTGCCGTCCCACTGGCAGGATCCGCATGGCGGCGGTGCCCATTTCGGTGCACCCTTCACGAGGTGGCCCCATAGGAAGCTTTACATACTAGGAAAATTAGCGTGGCGGCGCCGCCATATCCGTACACCCCTGACGAGGATCGTGGCCCCAGAGGGAGCTCCACCTACGGTACTAGTGGCAGGTCCCGCATGCACGCGCCGCTCATTTCATCGCACCCCTCACGCGGATCGGGCCCAGTGGGCCCGCATGCTGGCGCCATCAATGTGAGAGCACCCCTCATCCGTTTCGTGGCTCCAGTGGGAGGGTCCACATGGCGGCACCGAGCCAATTTCGGAACACCGCTCAAGAGGATCGCTGCCCCATAGCGGGCTCCACCTACTACGGCCCCAGTGGGAGAGCAAGCATGTCGACGCCGTCCATTTCAGCTCACCTCTGGCAAAGATCGTGCCCACGCAGGGAGCTCCGCGCACGGCCTCATTGGGAAAATTTGCATGTGTACTTCCGCCCGTGTCGGCACACTCCTCACATGAGCCCCGCCTGCGGCTCTAGTGGGGAAGCTGGTACGCGTTTCCCCATGCATTTCGGCGGACCCCTTGCACGCCTCATGCCCCATGGAGCTCCACATACGGCCCCAGTGCGAACGTTTGCATGCGTCCCCCCGCCCATTTCGCCCCGCCCCCCCCCGCCTCGCACGGATCGTGCACTGAGAGGTCCATCACTAACGTTACACGAAGCTGCCCAAGAAGTGGGTCCCTCGCCAGGCAAATTCGTCGACGATTGTTTTCGAAGATTGCCGAATGAGTTGCGAGGGTTCTCGGAGGGGGATAATGAGGAGAACGTAGCTGTTGGTTCAGAGGTTTTGAGGGGGTCAGGTATTCCCGGGAGGGAGGTGTACAAGTGTGTAGGAGAGGAGCAGGAGGAGTAGAAAGAGGAGGAGGAGGAGGAGGAGGAGGAGGAGGAGGAGGAGGAGGAGGAGGAGGAGGAGGAGGAGGAGGGGGAACCACCCCAGAGCCCCCTGCGCAGGAACCTCCCAGAACGCTAAGCGCCCTCCGATGATCCCCCCCCGTCCTCCTGCGAGACAGCTCGACGGGCCAGGGCAGGCTCTGGAGGGGAACTGCGGGAGGAAGCAAGGAAAAGGGCCTAGGCCGACGAGAAAAGGAAGCAACAGCACCAGGAGGCGGATGGGGGTGGGGGAGGCCGTGCCCAAAAGGCAGGCAAGGCCCTGGCACGGCGGCCTGCCAAGCCGCACCCCGCCCTCCTCCGCCCTTCTCGTGCTCCCCCCTCCTCAATCCTCAGATCTGCGGCGTCCGCGGCCGCAAACCCCTCTGAAAGCCTTCCGGAGTCTTCCGGAACGCTCTCTCACGAATTATCCTGATCCTCGGCCTGTCTGGAGACCTGGTTTAATGATGTGTACTGGGGGACGCCTCCCCCCGCCCCAGTCCACTAACCCGAATTGCAGTCCCCCGCGAAAACCAACTACGGCAGACCTGGTTTAGTGATTCCAATCAATATTTTCGATCTCAGGGCCCAATCACTAGCCGGCTCCCCTTGACCAGGGTCCTGGCTATATGTGACAGCTGACCATGCACACCCTCGACTCCACGTGGCCAAAAGCCCTGCTGCTGCCGCTCGTCGGCCCCGGCCCCGCCTGCTGCCAGCACCGATCTGCCGAAGCGGCCGTGGAGGCTGCTGGGCCGATCGGGCGTGCTGCTCGCCGGCCAGGGGAGCGGAGCTGCGCCGACTCTGACCCGGGCTGGCCTGGCTCTGGGAGCGCGGGGATAGGAATGGGACGATTGAGGAGGGGAGGATAACGGAGGATGGGAGAATGGAGGGACAGGGACAGTGGGGAGCGGGGAAGGAGGGGGGGGATAGGGAGTGGGAAGCGAAAGTGGGAGAGGAGATGGGAGAAGAGGGTAGGAGACGGGGAAAAGGATGGGGATCAGGATGGTGCACCGAGAAAAGTATCCGAAGAGGGAGGAGAGAGGAAGAGCGAAGCTGGCAATCAGAGACACTGTCAGGTTATCACATTGTAATGTGGATCCGCACTTTCGCTACCAAGCAACACCAAATCGCTAACACACTTTTCCTCCAGTGTTGAGGTGGCGGCACCGTCGCGAGCGCTGAAGCGGGACACCAAGTAGCTAACACCCGCAAGCTTCCTGTCGTACCCAATCCAGCAGCCAGCTTCGTCTGGGAATGCTCGCGGCGCTTCCCCAGACAAACCTGCAGTTCGGAAGCTACAACACACACCCACTACTAAGACATGTGAGCCAGGGCAATGTCGTGTACAGGTTGCGCGGGTTTCACGAAGTGGGGCCCCATGCTTCCCCCCAGGCAGGTCCAGGGGGAGGCGTGGAAAAGCTGGGGGCTGCGCACAGGCAGCCCCACGAGGTAGCCCTGGCCACATTCAGCAGGCCCAAAGGGTAGCCCATGGCGATGTCAAGAACCCGCAGGGGTAGTTGGGTGTTGAGACCGAGGACCTGCCCCAGGAGGCGGACCCCGACATCCGATACCAACGTCGTGAAAGGAAAAAGACGCCGTCAGAATCCACCGCCATAGCTGCCTGACACCACTTTTTTCGCAGAATTAAGGAAATAGTCTGGAGATGCACCCGAAGCATGTACAAAAAGTGGCCAGACATGTGGGCCACAGTGTCACGGGTGATTGCACGGCAAGGGACGCGACTTCGTGTGAAAGCTAGATGGGAGACTCGCGCGTTGCACGACTCATTGGAGAGAGTTGGACCTGAGTGAGGCATCACCTCAATCTAAGACACATGAAGGAGCAGACCGAAGCGCAACCATTACCACGAGAAGGAACGGAGTGGAAACATGTACGACAAAATTGGTAACGTGACCGCGGGGGGAGGGAGCGACAAGAGAAGAAGCAGGAATGGGAGATGGAACATAAAAATTTGGAGGAAAGAAAAAACAGGTAATAAAGGAAGGAGACAATAGGCTGGGCTTCCCGGGAGCGCCCGACAAAGCGACAGCTGTGCAGCTGATACCCTGGCAATTCGGCGGGCCTCGGCGGGCATGCCGACAAGGCGGCCGCTCTTCGAATGACGACCGTGAGAGGTGTGCCGAAATTGGCGCAGGGACGCCATGCGGACGCACCCACTCGGGCCATCAGCTGGACCTCCCAGCCTACGACAGTGGCGACCCTTGCGCAGTTGCCGGCGAACGGTGAGGGCGAGGTCCCGCCCTGACAAGGCAAGGCAAGGCAAGGCGCCGATGCACGCCCCGGGGGGGTCGGCCCGCTTAAAGCTCGGCGGGGGCGCCGGATCGCCGAAACTCAGATGTCGTAGCACACGATTGCTTCAGGATTCGGAATATGCATCTTTGACTCCATTAAGACAATCCTTCCCATCAGTTTGATCATGGACGTTCTGCAAAGAACGGGCACACTTGCCTCGCCAACGTTTGTGCGATACTACCTATCACCTCGGCCAAAATTTGTACACATTGTACATCAATTCCAAAATCTCGTCGGTTTTGCCCAACGGGTCTCTGGTCTCAGTGTGAAGCTTGCTGCGTACTCTCCGCCAAAGACAATGATGGCGCATGCAGTCGTAGCGCTGCTACAGTTCATCCCTGGATAATTTCGCGCGACTTCGATTTGAAAATTTTGACATCTAAAATTTGCTTCGTCGTTCGCATCGATGAACAGCCCAATATGTCTTGAATACTCGCTATAAGACCGTCGATTGTGGCCCCCGTTTCCTTGATCGTTTCATCTCCGCTGGAGACGTGACTCGCCTCATAAGAAGACGCGTCATCACGGTTCAGTTCGTCACTGCTGACATTGTCACGAGCATTTGGCATGCGTCCTGACTGCTCCACGACCTTTTCTAGGGAACCCGCGAAGGACACACGTGCCCAACCATGTACATGAACACGGCCCTTTGATCTGCGAGACCGGCCGCGTGATAAGAGAATTCGCGCTTTGAGTACTCTCGAGACCAACGTGGATTCATGTACGTGTACGTCCTTCTTCCGCTCCTGATTTCCACAAGTGCAACCTTGCGAAGTCCCGCCTGAGACTGCGGTCCCGCCTGGATCTACGTCCGTGTGGGAGGAACAGCGCATCGATCCGAGAGGATCGCGGGCCCGAAACGGGGCAACACACAACGGCGCTCGTGATTTGTGTCACGACGCCGCATGTTTCAGGTGCGGAGGGGCAAAAACTGACCCCCGTCGGCCCCACCAGTGACCAGCCACGGGCACCAGCCCGCTAGCCCGCATCGAACCGGCCGCCAAGTGGGGAATACAAAAAAGGTGGACGTTTGTTATGCCTCGGCCGACAGTCGTCCTCTGGGGCATGCAAGATTTCTCGAGCCGCATCGATCCGTCAGAGGTCCTGGGGGCCGAAACAACGTAACAACTGCCTTCGTGCTTTTTGTTGGCGCACGACGCCGCGGATCAGCAATAATGGAGGAGACACGAGAACACATTGCAAGAGCGTCACCTCCAAGAGCAGCTAGCATCGGCAAGACAGGAACGTCAACCTGATGTGAGGAGCATGCGAACTGCCTTCTTCACAGGATCCACTGGCGGTGCGATAGTGGGCATGATCGCAGGGGCACCGCGCGAAACAGCATGACTGCACTGCGGACGGCCCCACCTTTTAGGGGCAGGAGGAGGCGGAGGAGGGGGAAGCAGGAGGGTCGGCTGCGCGCAAGAGTGGACCCTGGAACAGAGAGACTCAGAGAGACCTCCCGTGCGCGGCCTGCCGATCTCGTGGCATGACGTGCGGCAGCAGGGGCCTGCGTGCTCGGGTCCGGCCCCCCGCAGGGATCCTCGCACGTCGCGCATCGCGGGCTGGGCCAGGGCGGTAGCCCTTCTCCAGGGGGGGGGGGGCGGCGCGAGGGCGCGCAGGGGCGCGAGGATGCCTTTTGGCGCGGTCTGCGGTTGCAGGCGCCAGGGAGGGACTCCCCTTCCTTCGCGGGATGCGAGGGAGCATGCTCCATTATCTAATCTACCCTGATCTACCCTCCTCCTCCTCCTCCTCCTCCTCCTCCTCCTCCTCCTCCTCCTCCTCCTCCTCCTCCTCCTCTTCCTCGCGTGGCTCTGCTCAGCCTCCCGCGAACCAAAAACAAAAAAAACTCCGGCGAACAAGCAACGCCCCGCCGCGCTGCCGGGGAGGAGGCGCAGGGCGGCCTGCGCGGCCGGGCACCTCGGCCAGCAGCGAGCCCCAGCTCCGCGCCGAGCTTGGCATGGCGGTGCGCCCCACGGGAGCCCGCCAGGCGCCGGCAGCCGCAGGAGGCCTCAGATCTTGGAGGCCTGGAGGCCTGGGAAATGGGCACCAACAGCAACACAAGCGGTTGCCTCCACCGACGGAAGATGATCTTAGATGTTGGTGTTGGTGGTCATGTTTCGGCGTCCTGGAAAGCCCGAATATCACCACCATTGCCGAGATCGGGACATCTTTCCTTGGTGGAGGCACACCGCCAATATGTACTGGTGTTGGTGTCAACCTCTAAGTCTCCGAAAACGCGCGTGCACGCGCGCGCCAGGCGCCGGTAGCCGCACGAGGCCTCAGATCTGAAGGCAGGGGTGCGAGGCGCATGGCGGAGGGTGCAACACTTCACGGTCACGGGGGGGGGGGGGGGCAGGGGATGGGGAGCAGGAGGGCTGGGAAGGTGGGGGGGAGTAGAAGTCAGGCGGGGAGCGGATGGGGATGGCAAGGGGGACGAGGAGAACTGGAGAAGCACGGGTGATGAGGATGATGAGGGGACGAAGCTATTTGTCTCGTTCTCTCCTCCACCTCCTCTGTCGAGATCTCTCCGTCTTCGCCGCAATATCGACTGCATCCGTCGCCCTTTTCCTCCTCCTCCTCCTCCTCCTCCTCCTCCTCCTCCTCCTCCTCCTCCTCCTCCTCCTCCTCCTCCCCCTCCTCCCGCAGACCTGGGGGCACCCGAGTGGGTCCGCACCCCCGTCACCAAGGGGGACCCCCCGGCGTTAGGGTTATGGTCCTGGGTCCCTAGTTACGAAGACCGCAAGACACAGCCTCTCAGAGGACTGGCCCTGTGGCTCCGCCTTTGCGTATAACTCCTAAGTGTTAACTGTATTACGCAAGGAGAAATGCAAGCGGGGGCGGCCAGGCAGGGGCGTAAGGGGAAGGAGAGGAAAAGCAAGAGGGAGCGTCGGACGGGGTGGCGGTCGTGATGATCGTCCTGGTGGTCGTGAAAGTCGGTGGTAGTGGTAGTCGTAGTAGTCTGAGTGGTGATGGTGGTTTCCGCTGGAGCTGTGGTAGTTGTGGTGATTGTCGTGGTGCTATCATGCTGGTGATGGTTGTGGTCGTCGCGCTGTCAGTGGTTGCGGTGGTTGTCGTGCCAGCGCTGGTCGTGGGCGTGGTCCGCGTGGTCGTGGTGGCCGTCGTGCTGGTGCTCGTCGTCGTCAGGGTGCGAGTGGTGGCGGCAGTTGTCGTCGCGTTGTTGGCTGTTGTGGTAGGGCCCTTACCGCCCCAAGGCGCTGAGAATTATCTCCGCGTTTCATTGTTGTAGGGTGCGTGGGATGTCCCGCCAGATCCGGCTGAGCTCGGACCGCTGGGCGTCCTCCAGGGAGGCGCCGTAGCTCCGCAGGAAGCTCACTGCCTCGTCGGATGGCCGCCCACCGGTCTCAAAGACCATTGGGACCAGTTCCTCCTCCTCTTCCTCCCCCCCTTCCTCCTCCTCCCCCTCCTTCTCCTCCTCCTTCTCCTCCTCCTCCTCCTCAGTCTCGTCCTCCCTTTCCTCCTCCTGCCGCCCTTCCCCCCCCCGCTTCCCTCCCTCCTTGCCTCTCTCCCTCCCCCCCTGAGCCAAAGCCGCAGGAGGCACCGCAACAACCGACAGCCCGGGGGAAGATCTCCGGGAGGCCCCTCCCCTCCGCCCTCCCTGCCGCCATCTCACGGCGGTGCTAAGGGTTGTGCCGTCGTCGAGCATCGGGCGCGCGGCGCGCTCCCTGACCATGCCCATCACTTCACGGTGTCACACCACTCAACCAAAGAAAGCCCAAGAAACGGACTGATGCCAAACCGTCGAACGCCTAACCTTCAAGATGGACTAACGACCCATCATGGCCCCCAAGAGGCCCCAAATGCCACCAATAGGCTCCAAGAAGCGCCAAGAGTACCCCTAAAGATGCCCCAGATATGCCCTAAAGAAATTCCCGAGAGATCAACGTCCTAGGAACCCGCGACGAATCATTTTCAGCAATCTCCATCGCGTCTCGTGCCCACGAACCAGGCAGTTATGCGGGCTGGGCCGAAGGCCACAAGATCCGCCGACCCCCGCCGTTCACAAGGGTGCATGGCATGCTGGACTTTCTGGACTCATTTGGCCAAAATAAGTCCAGGAAGTTCGAAACCTTTTTTGGGGGGCCCGCACAAATTTGGCCCCCCAAGAAGGTCCCCACAAACCATTCGGCCAATCAAGCCGCCAGCCTGGCAGCCGGGGAAACCGCTAGAAGACATAACTCATCGCATAAAGCCCGTCCCCGAGAGGGCACAACGGCGCAAAATCAGGACGGTCGAATATGGCCTCCAAGACGGCCAACACAGGCCCAACATGGGCACCAGTCTGTCCAGGATGCGCCCGAGACGGCTATACTGTTGCCGCCGAAGTCTACATGAGCGGCCCACGCAAGCTTCCAAGAGCCTCCGAAGAGGTAAGCATAAGTGGCTTCCGTTCTGGTATTGGGCTGTCTTGGCGCACTCTCCCGTTCCGTCTTTCGGGCGTCCAAGATGCCCAGCGAGGCCTCCAATATGGTCCCAAGACGACGCAAAAGGGCTTCAATAGCGACCCTGCAGCCTGTAGAGGAGCCCAAAACGGCTTATGAGGGGCCCAAGGGTGCATCGAGACGCCCTGAGAGGAGGGCACCAGGCCCCAGGAGGCACACAGGATCGCCCCAAAGACCCCCAAAAGTAACCCTTCCCTCTGGACCTCATGTGCTCCCACTCCGGACCTCATACGCTACCCCAGTCGCCGCGACAACGATTGGGGGAATCAGAATTCAACCACGGTCGAGCGGGGTTCGCAACGAACATTCGCCAAGAATGCCTTACGCTTCCACGAGGGCAGGGTTCGCCGCTGGCGTCTTGTGGGGAGACGATGATTCGCCGCCAGCGTCTTCCATGGTAACCTCGCTGCGATCAACCTCCTCTTCTTGTAGCACCGTGAAGCCAGCTACCATCTGTTCGTGTCTGGAACCACTGGATAAAGAATTCAGGGTCTGGAAGCCGGTGTAACTCCAACCGTGGATTGGCAAGAGAGATCACCGCCGCCCTCATCAGATAAGGAACTCTCCAGGGTAAAAAGCCTCCTGGACACACTCCTTCAACAAAAGCCCAACCGAATTGATGGATGTGGAACCCTTCTGCTTCATCCTCGACCGTCCCGTCTGAGTGCCGCTGCGAGCGAGCGAAACCGCCGCCACGGCGCTGGGACCGCAGCCTAGAAGGGTGGCTGCTCCGCCGCCTGGTGACAAGAGTGGCGCGCGTGCGATTTCTTTGAACAAGGAAGCAACTGTGCAATTCTCTCTGTCGAATTCTTTTAGCTTGGCCCGCTCAGCCGAGTCGCCCCGCCGGAATCGTGAGAGGTGTGGTGCATGTGGTGAGGTGTGTGTGTGAGAGAGAGAGCTTTTTCGACGGCGGGTCGCGTGCCGCTGGGCTTGAGGCTCCAGAGCGTGGCATCGAGGCGGCCAGCGAGTGAGGCTTGATCTCGAAAGGCACTTCTGAGGCCGCTGCAGCCGCCTCAGGCGGCGCAGCGGGTTCCGCGAGAGTCGGCAGCGACGACTCGGGCTCAAGCCCTGGCTGCGCCTCGGGTTTCGCAGCCGCTGTGGCCCTCTCAAACCAGAAGGCGGGCTGCTGCAGCGGACACCTGGCTGGGCCTCCGCCAGTGAGGCTCTCGAAGTCGACCTCCACGGTGCGACCAGGCTCCGAGGCACTCAGGTCCATGTCGAGGCTGATGTCCAGGCGCTGCCCTGCGCGGTCCACCCCGCGCACGAGAGCCGGCACGTACCTGCCGTGCCCCTCGCTCCACCACCTGCAGCGGGCGCCCACGTGGACCCATCCCGGCAACTCCACTGTGGGCGCGGGGACGTCGTCGTCCACGCACCTGGCAAGGTCGCCGCCTGAGCTTTCCTGCGGCGTTCCCAAGCTCGTGCCGTCGTCGACTTCCCCGTGGCTGCTCACCTGCGCAGGGCGGTCTTCCCGCTGGGTCAACTCACCGCCGCTGGTGTCCGCGTCGTCGACCCGCTCGTTATCGCTCTGGTGCTCCCGCGGTGTCGCCGCATGATCCTCGTACACGGTCGGCAGGGGCAGGCCCTGCGACCCATTCCTCCTCCTGCTGGGCGACCTGCGGGTGCTGCGGCAAGCCCGAGGAGCGGGTGCCGGGCTCCAGGAGGTCTCTCCGTCCTGCGCGGGGCCCATGCAGGCCATGGCGTCGGCGTCTACAGAAGGCGCCACGTAGGGCGGCGGCGTGCCCTGTGGCGCGCGGGGAGACTCCACAGCAGCCCGCGGCGCCGCCACGTCCGGGAAAGCACGCCGAACGGCGGCTTCCCTGCGAGGCTTCGGAAGGCCCCCCTTGCCGGTCGTCTCGCGCCACATGTGCCGCTCCGGGAAAGTGGGTGCGGGGTCCTGGGCCCCGTGCTCCAAGTCCAGCCAGTGCGGAATCATCGGGCGAATGCTGCCAAGATCCGCGCCGTTCTCAACCCAGGTGCTGTGGGATCGGCAGAAGTGCTGGCAGTCCAGGCAGTCCTGTTGGAAGTCCTCGGCCCGCACCTTCGTGCCACATGGGGTTGCCACCGAAGCTGCCGCTGCGCAACTTTCGGCCATGCCCTCCACCACGCGACGCCATGCCTGCATGCCCACAACGCGGCGTTGACGGCTCGCCGTCGCACCCAAAGGATTGCTGCAACAACATGGTTGAGCCTAAACGGTTACGGAATACTTACACGTAATGCTGAGGCGAATCATGGTCCATGGTAGCCAGATGCACTAGTAGTCGGTCCGCATAGGTATGTTTACAAGCGTGGGCCCCAAACAGAAAGTTATTGCACCGTGTATGTGTAAGCCATGTGGTGCCAGCCACGTGGTGTATCTATGATGTGCAGTGTACGTGGTGCTGCGCGGGGCAAGCTTTGTGTTTGAAGCTATGTAGTACAACCGATGTGGTGCGAGCTATGAAGTGCAAGCTCAGTGGTGTAAGTCCCACCAGCCCTTTGGGCGTGAGTGGTTTA